GTATCCTATTTAACAAGATCATTAAGAGATTTTCTTCAAGAAGCTTTGTTATTTTACCTTTCACATTAAGGTCTTCGATCCATCTCAAATTAATTTTGAGAATGATAGAGGGGACATAGTACCCTAGGAATTACAACACATTACTAACCAATCTAAAGTAATATATTACCTTTCTATTGAAGTTAAGAAACTGAGAATTTAAATCTGTTTACATAGCTTCCAATCTAAAAAGATACTTTCATATAATTTTACGTCTTAGCTTAGCCCTGAAAACCCTATTGTATTTGTTTTATACAATTAGTTTTGTTCCATTTATCTGCATATTTATAAAATAACTCCTTTGCTTCTTAATCTTCCTTATATCATAAGTTTCCATCTGGGATCATTTTCCTACAGTTTAACTGAGGTACACCACTTAGAATTTCTTTAATAAGTATTAAATGATGAAAAATGTTTTTGCCTAAAATCATTTTTGTTTCATTCGTGAAAGGAATTTTCATGGGGCATAGAATTCTAGGTAAACAGTTACCTTCTTTCAGCATATTGAAAATGTTTTAATACATGTCCTTCATTGTTGGAAGAAATCATAATGGAAATTTAAAAATACTTGATATAGTTGATAATAATGTAATTACATATAAAACCTATGTGTCGGGAGTGGGACTTGTAACTGTGACAGAAACTAATCATTGCAGCCACTATGATCACTGAGGCCTAGGAAGAAATATACAGGGGGGTTAAGCAAATAAGTAAATATATTAAGGATAATGGGAGCCAGGTTTCTTAATATCAGGGAAGTGAGTTACAAATATAAAAAGGGGAAAGGCTAGAATAATCCTATGGTACTGGAATGAAATTGGATGTACCAGTGTAAAATCATACAGTTCTTACACTTCTTGATATTGATAAATAAGAAAAATGGCATATAGAAAGGGAGAAGTTGTATGTGTAATTACATATATATACAAATTATTTGCTGAGAGGGTCTAAAAGCACTGGTGTCTCAGTATCAATAAGCATACCTAGCATACAGATTTTGGTTCCTAAATACCAGTCTTTGCCAAAAGGAATCAGCTCTTGGAGAAATGGTGACTCCAGGGTTGGTGAAGAGAAAATACAAGATCTGCCTGGAATACCTTCTTCCACCACAAAGTGAATAAGTGCTTCAAGAATAATGGAGACACATCAAAAACACACAGAAGCTAGCTTAAAAGGGCTCTCCCTGGCAGTGTGGGATAATTTGGGTATCAAAATAAACCATAACAGCAATAGATTATAGTCTTTGACTAAAAGAAATAGCCAAGAGTCCACACTAATTTAAATAAATATATGGAGAGAGTGGAAACCTCTAACTTACAGAATTCCAAGTACTGTTAAAGGACTAGTAAAATTTTTTTTAAATCTTCTAATTACACCTATCTTATTAATAAATGATTCAGTTCAAATAATCAATAGATGCTAAATTAGATAGGTAAAAGTTTAATAACAAGATACTTACATTGTCTCAAAGTATCTCTCCCTCATTACTTATTGATATGTGTGACACAATTACAAAATAACTTTGAAGTGGAGAACACTTACCATCTTATCAAGATACCATCTTAAGTATAACAAGTCAACATTATCAGTAATGGGACAAATCAACAAAATATATCTCCTAATATGATATACCAGGAAAAGCACATCATCACTTCTGTGGTGTTCCTACAGTAAAACTAAACTTGAATCTAACCATGACAGAACATCAGACAAATTTAATTTGAGGGACATGCTACAAAGTAATTGGGCTCTAAAAGCAATAAAAATTTTTATATTGAAAGAACCTAAAGAATATGACAACAAAATGAAACACTGAAATAATTATAACAGGTTTTCACATACATGAATATTTAGAGGATGTTCAAAAGCTGGATGTGACAAGGGACAATTCTTCATCGTGTAAGACTATCCCATGTATTGCAGAACTTCTAGTATCTCTGACACTTACCTACTACATGCCAGGAGCAACCCTCCATTACCATGATGACCAAAACAACCCACATACATTTCCAAAATATGCCTTTGGGAGACATTTACTGCCCCTAAAAAGAAGTACAGCCCTCCTCAATCTTGTCTTCCCTCTTTCAGTATCTCCTTAACTATGCTGGTCTCCTTACTATCCTTTAACACATCAGGCACACTCTAACCTCAGGGACTTTGTACATGCTATTTCTGTCTGGAATGCTCTTGCTAATGATATGCAAATGACTTATTTTTCTCACCTTCTTTAGAAATTTGATCCAATATTTCCTTCTCAGGTCTTTCCTTGACTCTTCTGCTTTGTTTCCCTGGCATCCTACTAACTGACATATATTTTACTTATTTATTTGGTGGCTATCTGTACCCTCTCACTTGAATGTAAGCCTCAAAAGGAAACACTTTCTGTCTATTTTGTTCAGTGATATGTCCTCAGCAAATAGACTGGCACATTAAGCATCCAATAAGCATTTTTAGAATGGATTAATAAATTTCCAATATTAGGGGAATGACTGAAGTGTTATATTTATACTATGAAATATTATATGCCTACATAAAATTATACTTCTAGAGTAGTTTTAAGGGGAAATAGTAATATATTTAAGTTTAAAGAGAAGCATCCAAAAATATACACAGTTGTGGTCAATGTGAGTTCACTAAGAACAAGTCATACTAGACAAACTGTAGTTCATAATCACTCAAATGACAAATTGGAGGAAGTCAAATATAAAATACTGAATAGTGAAGTATTTACTGTAGTTGTCAGAAAATCTTATTAAAAAGTTTTAGACTTTCCCCCAATGATCATGTCTTAGTGAACATTTTTAGCAAATATATGGACAAAAACAGTTACTAAACACATAAATGGCATTAAGTTGGAGGGATATTTAATATAACAGAAGACCTAATTGAAATTCAAAATCATTCCAACAGTCTTGAACATTAATATGAAACCAATAAGAAGAAATACGGCACAATTTAAAAGAATTATATGCACATGATATGGGAGTAGAAATTTGGTCATTTCATGTTTTTTAAAAAACACCACAGTATGACCAGTAGAAATTATAGAATACAGTAGCGAAAAAAAGATTTATTAAATATACTTTATGCTCGTCAGGACATGTGAAATTTTGTACTTAATGTAATTTAAGACAACGTATTAAGAAGAATAGTTTTAAAAACCAGAGTCTAGCATTACGCTAAGTGAAATAAGCCAGGCGGCAAAAGATGAATACCGTATGATCTCACCTATGAGTGGAACCTAATCAACAAAACAACCAAATGAGCAAAACAGAACGAGGGACTTGGGAATAAAGAAGGAACTGACAATGACAAGGGGAGTGGGGAGGGGGATAACATGGGAAAGAAGAGGAAGGGGCAAGCAAAGGAACACGAACAGAGGACTCATGGGCATGGACAATGGGAGGGGACTGACTGTCAGAGGGATGGGACAGGGTAGGGGAGAACAATGGGAAAAAGGCAGGACAAATGTAACTGTATAACAATAAAAACAAAACAAAACTAGAGTCTACACAAAGAAAGGTAATTTGATTGCTGAGGGGTCTGAAAACATCAGCATATGATCATTAATGAAACAAGGAAATGCAGATCACTGGGAGAAATACGTACTTTTAAACAACAACAAATTATCCATTTTATTACTGGTTAATTTTTTCATAAGCATGTATGTAAACTTAAAATCCAATCTAATTTATACTTCTAAAAACTTTTCCAAAATTGCTAAGCCAAATAATTATGCCATATCTCTGATGAACTATTTTCTAAGAAACTATGAATTAGACAATAAAATCTATGCACATTACATCAATTTTTATAGGATTAATAATAATAACAGCTGCCAATTACTGAGCACTAATTAGCATATTCTATTACGCACTTTACAGACATTATTTCATGTAAGCCATACCAAAACCCTATAAAAGACAGGTATTATTACACCCTATTACTACTCATAATAGTGGACCAAATGCCCTATCAACAAGAGAATGAATAAACTATTGATATATCCATACACTGAATACAGAAATAAAAAATAAACCAGAACTATGTACATATACATAGAAAAATCTCAAAAACCTAGGACTATATGAAAAACACAATTCTCAGAATGATCTATACTATATTAATTCCACCTATTATGGAGTTCGAAACCATGGTGAACAGCAAGAAAATCAATACATGTCAAAATAAGGAGTAAAACAGTTATGACTGGGGAAGGGACACACAGGACTTCAGTGTCATTTGATAACATTCTATTTCTCAAGCTGAATGGCTTGTATGCAGGGATTAACTTTATTCCTTATATATCTTTTATATCTTCTTTTCTATGCACAAAACAGTTCACAATGGAAGGAGAACAAATACTATTAAAAAGAAAATGAGCCCTGACCAGCGTTGCCCAGTTGGTTGGGCACTGTCACTCAAAGGGAAAGGTCACCTGTTCAATTCAGGGCACATGCCTGGGTTGCAGGCCCAGTCCCTGATTGGGGTGTGCCTGAGAGGCAACCAATTGATGTTTCTCTTCCTCTCTTTCTTCCTCCCTTCCCCTCTCTCTAAGTAGTAAATAAATCTTTTTTTTTTAAGTGATTTATACATAAACTATTATAGTTCTGTGATCCTAAGCAGAAAATACATATCTGAGAATAGCTGGATTTTATCTGCATTTCCAGATATCACCCTCAAGAGAAAATACAATCGACAACAATATATTGATAAAAAAAAAAAAATGTATCTTATTTTGCAAAGGAGGTAATTTTTTTTTCAATAGATGCATTTGGAATTGATCAAAACTTACAGAATCTAATCCTTAATATTAACTTTTGCAGAATTAAGACTCCTAACACTTTAAGCCAAACACTATCAGTGACTCAGCTGGAGGCATCAAAGCCAAGGTAAGAGATCCAAATTCTACTATGCTTTCTTTAACATTTTTTCTTTTCATTTCTAAATTTTTTTTATACCTTGGACAAATCATTTTGACCAAACAACTTTGCTTTGATCTCTTCAACTTTTCTCCTGTCATCTTCATTTAATTCTGAAATGGAGTAGCCACACTCATGAGCCATATTAAACTTCAGATTCCAGGCTGTAGAGAAAGCATAAATCACCTGAGATAATACAATGCAAAAGTGATAATTTGTCAGTCATTTTAAGAGTGCAGATCGTCACTATATCTAATTTAATGCCTACCTTTTGCTTATCAAAAGTGCATGCTCTAAATTATACAACAAATTAATAGGTATTGAGAAATTGTTTCATTGAAAAGTCTGATTTTTTTAAAACCACATTCTACAGATTTTCCTCCAAAGAGGTTCCCTTAAATATGGTATTCAATCATTTTTATCATCGTCTTCTTTCAAACCAGGACAGTCCCTTTGTCTTCCCCATTAACTCCTGTTGCAGTTACTGTCACTTCCAAAAGAGCTGATATTTTAAAATAAAACTTGGGAGTTTGAAAATCAAAATATGCATAAGTAACAAAAGGAATAGTTTAGGAAGTTAATCTCAAGGAATATTCCCAGGTAGGCCTGGATTGCTTGTAAGCTGTACTTTATAATATATTCCCCACATTGTCTTACATATTTTTAATGGAATTCCACTATCAGAGATTAAAAGGATTAATATGCATTTTAAAACTTTAACTCGTTTTAGTGTAAAGTACCTTGACTAGTTTTTTCCAATGTCCACCTAAGATCTGCTCCAAGAATTTTATTTGCAAAGGAGGTGAGAAAGTATATATAGTTTTATGATGCAAAGTAATTTAGGGCAGAGCAATCTTTTTTCCTGTCTCCAAAATTAAGGGTACTATAATGGGAAGATCAGAGAAACATGAGAGCTTTAGGAACACTGTAGCTCTTTACCCTCCTCCTTCAGACATCAAAACTTACTTTTCCTAAGAGCCTAAACTCAGACTAGCATTAATAATATAATTAATACTGTGATTTAGCTACATTATTGTGGTTAAATGGGCTTACTCTGGATTGCCAGTAGAAGATGTAATCATCCTAACAATTCTACAAGAAAATAACTTTAGAATGTCAGACACTTAACTTTAAATAATTAAACTATAATGTTTGTAAGATTCACCTGCCTTTATAACAAATTATCAGTTCCTACCTCGTGCGCGTACCCGACATTCCTCTTCCTCTGCATTTCTGAGTATTTGTTTAGCATGATTCAATGAGGATTCACATTTCAGAAGGTTTTTCACATGTGCAGCCAGTGAATCTACACTACCACCACCCCCATCATCACTCTCTGATACACCCTCTTCCTCTCTGCTATCTGTCATGCTTGTCTTCGGTGAAGCATATGGAAATAAGTTTAGAAGAACATCAGAAACTGACTCGAAGGAATTACTGTCCCATGAACAGGAACTTGCATCACTACTTGAATCACTTTTTATGATAGTCATCATAGGGATAAGAATTTTATTTCCAAGGGTTCCACTACACCCTTCAGGATCAGATCTCACTACAGATCTGGCTGCTTTATATTGCCTAAGGGTTTCGTCTAATGCCACTCCAGCTTTACTTTCCACTCCCTGTATAGGACTTCTAACTGTAGTTGAACTAATAAACTCCCAATTTTCAATGCCTCTCTGGCATTTCAGATTCGTCTGTGTGCTAATATCCTTCTGTATATACTTGTTGCTTGGATTCTCCTCTGTGAATGGTTTTCTTGGAGGAAAATCCACATTGGATTCATTAGTTGTAGGCGGTTCTTTGAAGCAAACAACCTTCTTAGATTGAATAAATGAAATATCACTAACATCTCTGAAAGGTACAAGGGGAGCAGGGAAATTGCATCGTTTCAGTGCTATATTTTCTGCCTCCATTAAAAGTGTCTGAATCTGTTTAAGAGTTTTAGAACTATTATCTGTGTACTGGAATTCCTCAGAGCCAACATCTTCAAAACCTGAAGGTTCTGGCTTATTTACAACAACTCTACCATCAGCTTGAGAATTTAAAGGCATATTGTTTGAGATTATACTAGAGTTAGAAGAATCCATATTATCTATTAGTCTCTGGACATGGTCTGAAACAAGTTTGGGCTTCTCACTATGTGAGTAAGTACCAGGATGAACTGTTGATAACCCAGTAATCTGATTGACTTGCCCAAGACCACTTGAGAACTTCACAGAATCTTCAGTTAGATGTCTGTCTGGCAAATCCTGTTGATAGACTGTATTTGGTTTTTCTCTGTGTGAAAAGAAACTAGGAGGAGCTGTTGGTAATATGGTTTTCTGGTCATCTGGTTCAGGAATTGTTGATACCTTCAGTACATCTTCAGTTAGATGTTTCTCTGGCAATTCCTGTGGAGATAAAATATTAGATTTCTCTCTGTTTGAATAGGAACTAGAAATAGGTACTGGTATCCCAGAATTCATGTCAGTTGGTTCAGATGAAGCCTTCAGAATATCTTCTCTATGATGTCCACCTGCCGAATGCTGTTTCAAGAAAATACCGGGTTTTACTCTCTGAGAATAAGAGTTACGAAAAACTGTCAGTAACGGAGTCTTCTGGTTGTCTGGTCCAACCACAGTTAAATTCTTGGGCTTCTCTCTATGTGGGTGGGAAGTAGAGGGAGCTGTTGGTAACTCAGGCTTCTGGTCATCTGGTAAAACTGTAGTTGAAATCTTGGGTTTCTCTTTAAGGGAGTAAGAACTAGAAGGTCCTACTGGTATCTCTGTCTTCTGGCCAGCTGGTCCAGGAAGGGCAAAAACTTTTAAAGCTTCTTCATTAGTATCTGGCAACGCATACTGGTAAAAGACACCACCCTTCTCTCTATATGAGTAGGAACCTGAGGGGACTACTCGTATTCCAGTCTTCTGGTCAGCTGGTCCAGCAACAGCTGAAATTTCCAAAGTTTTTTCAGTAATATCTGGAAACTCTTTCTGGTAAGAAGAGATGGAGCTCTCTCTATGTGAATAAGAAGAAGAGGGCACAATTCGTTTATCGGTCTTCTGGTCAACTGGTCCAGGAACTGCTAAAAGTTTTAAAGAGTCTTCATTATGATCTGGCAACTCTTGCTGATAAGAAATGGGTTTCTCTTCATGAGAGTACGAAGTAGAGGTTACAAATGCTATCCCCGTTTTCTGGTCAGGTGGTCTGGAAACCCCTAAAGCTTTTAAAGCCTCTTGAGTAAGATCCTGCTGGTAAGGAATGATGGGCTTCTCTCTATATGAATAGGAACTAGATGGTACTGTAGGTATCCCAGTCTTCTGGTCAGCTGTTCCAGGAACACCTGAAGCTTTCAGAGCCTCTTCAGTTAGATGACTACCTGGCAACTCCTGTTGGTAAGAAATAATAGGCTTTTCTCTATGTAAGTAAGAAGTAGAGGTTGCTGTTGTTTTTCTGGTATTCTGGTCACCTGGTAGAGGGATAGCTGAAACTTTCAAAGCCTCTTCAGTTAGCTGACTATCTGGCAAGGCCTGTGGGTAGAAAATAAAGGGCTTCTCTCTTTGAGAGTAGGAAGTAGAGGATACTGTAGGTATCCCAGTCTTCTGCTCAGGTGGTCCAGGAGAAGCTGAAACATTCAGAGCCTCTTCTGTGACATGTCTACCTGGTAAGGCCTGTTGGTAAAAAATAACAGACTTCCCTCCAATTGAGTAGGCACTTGTAGGTACTGTTGGTATTCCAGTCTTCTGATCACCTGTTCCAGGAGTGGGTGAAACTTTTGGAGCCTCTTCAGTTAGGTGACTATCTGGCAACTCTTGATAGTAGAAAATACTGGAATTTTCTTTATGTGAGTAGGAACCAGAAGGTTCTGATGATAAACCAATCTTCCGGTCAGCTGGTCCAGGAACAGCTGAAACTTTCAGATCCCCTTCAGGTAAATGACTCTCTGTCAAGCCCTGTGTGTAGAAAATAACAGGCTTTTCTCTATGTGAGTAGGAACCAGAAGGTTCTGATGGCAACCCAATCTTCTGGTCAGCTGGTCCAGAAACAGCTGAAGCTTTTAGAGCCTCTTCAAGTAGGTGACTGTGTGGTAATGCCTGTGGTGAGATAAAAATATGCTTCTCTCTCTGTGGGTAGGAAGCAGAGGGTACTGTTGGTATCCCAGTCTTCTGGTCACCTGGTCCAGAAGTGATGGAAACTTTCAGGGCCTCTTCAGTGAGGTGAGTGTCTGGTAAGGCCTGTGGATAAAAAATAATGGGCTTCTCTGTATGTGAGTAGGAACCAGCAAGTTCTGATGGCAATCCAGCCTTCCGGTCAGCTGGTCCAGGAACAGCTATAACTTTCCGATCCTCTTCAGGTAAATGACTCTCTGTCAAGCCCTGTGGGTAGAAAATAACGGGTTTTTCTCTATGTGAGTAGGAACCAGAAGGTTCTGATGGCAACCCAATCTTCTGGTCAGCTGGTCCAGAAACAGCTGAAGCTTTTAGAGCCTCTTCAAGTAGGTGACTGTGTGGTAATGCCTGTGGTGAGATAAAAATATGCTTCTCTCTCTGTGGGTAGGAAGCAGAGGGTACTGTTGGTATCCCAGTCTTCTGGTCACCTGGTCCAGAAGTGATGGAAACTTTCAGGGCCTCTTCAGTGAGATGAGTGTCTGGTAAGGCCTGTGGATAAAAAATAATGGGCTTCTCTGTATGTGAGTAGGAACCAGCAAGTTCTGATGGCAATCCAGCCTTCTGGTCAGCTGGTCCAGGAACCGCTATAACTTTCCGATCCTCTTCAGGTAAATGACTCTCTGTCAAGCCCTGTGGGTAGAAAATAAAGGGCTTCTCTCTATGAGAGTGAGAAGTAGAGGTTATTGCTGAAATCCCAGACTTCTGTTCAGTTGGTCCAGGAACAGCTGAAACTTTCTGAGCCTGCTCAGTTAAATGACTGTCTGGCAACTCCTGTTGGTAGAAAATACTGGGCTTCTCTCTATGTGAGTTGGAACTAGAGGGTACTGTTAGTGTACCAGTCTTCTGGTCACCTGGTCCAGGAACAGATGAAACTTCCAGAGACTCTTCAGTCAGATGACTATCTGGTAACGCCTGCTGATAAAAAATACCTAGCTTCTCTTCAAATGAATAGGACCCAGAGGATCCTGAGGGTATCTCACTGTTCTTCTCAGCTGGTTCCAGAACAGACTGAACTTTTAGAGCCTCTCCTGTTAGATGACTATCTGGAAACTCCTGCTGGTAAAAAATAATGGGTTTCTCTCTATGTGAGTAGGCACTATAGGGTACTGTTTGTAGTCCAGTGTTCTGATCAGCTGGTTCAGGAATAGGTGAAATTCTCTGAGCCTGTTCAGTTAGATGACCGTCTGGCAACTCCTGCTGATAGAAAACACTGGTCTTCCCTCTATGTGAGTAGGAAGTAGGGGGTAACACTGGTATCCCAGTCTTCTGTTGAGCTGGTCCAGGGACACCTGGAACTTTCTGAGCCTCTTTAGTTAAGTGGCTAACTGGTAACTCCTGTTGGTAGATAATATTGGGCTTCTCCCTATGTGAGTAAGTAGAGGTTACTGTTGGTATTCCACTCCTCTGGTCAGCAAGTCCAGGAGGTGGTGAAACTTTCAGAGCCTGTTCAGTTAGATGACCTTCTGGCAATGTCTGTTGATAGAAAATATGGGGTTTCTCTCCATGGGAGTAAGAAGCAGAGGTTCCTGTTGGTATCCCAGTCTTCTGATCAGTGAATACAGAAAAAGGTGGAGCTTGCTGAGACTGTTCAGAGAGATGACTATCCCTTGGCTCTTGCTGGTAGAAAATAGTGGCCGCCTCTCTATGTGAGTAAGACGTAGAGGTTACTGTTGGTATTCCACTCCTCTGGTCAGCAAGTCCAGGAGGAGGTGAAACTTTCAGAGCCTGTTCAGTTAGATGACCTTCTGGCAATGTCTGTTGATAGAAAATATGGGGTTTCTCTCCATGGGAGTAAGAAGCAGAGGTTCCTGTTGGTATCCCAGTCTTCTGATCAGTGAATACAGAAAAAGGTGGAGCTTGCTGAGACTGTTCAGAGAGATGACTATCCCTTGGCTCTTGCTGGTAGAAAATAGTGGCTGCCTCTCTATGTGAGTAAGAAGTAGAGGTTACTGTTGGTATTCCACTCCTCTGGTCAGCAAGTCCAGGAGGAGGTGAAACTTTCAGAGCCTGTTCAGTTAGATGACCTTCTGGCAATGTCTGTTGATAGAAAATATGGGGTTTCTCTCCATGGGAGTAAGAAGCAGAGGTTCCTGTTGGTATCCCAGTCTTCTGATCAGCAAATACAGAAACAGCTGCAGCTTTCTGAGACTGGTCAGAGAGATGACTATCTCTCAGCTCTTGCTGGTAGAAAATAGTGGCCTTCTCTCCATGTGAGTAAGATGTAGAGGTTCCTGTTGGTATCTCAGTCTTCTGATCAGCAAATCCAGAAACAGCTACAGCTTGCTGAGACTGGTCAGGTAGCTGAGACTCTGGCAACTCTTGCTGGTAGAAAAGACTGGGCTTCTCTCTATGTGAGTAAGAAGCAGAGGACACTGTTGGTATCCCTGTTTTCTGCTCAGTGGATCCAGGAGCAGCTGAAACTTTCAGAGCCTGTTCAGTTAGATGACTTCCTGGCAATGCCTGTCGATAGAAAATATGGGGTTTCTCTCCATGAGAGTAAGATGTAGAGGTTCCTGTTAGTATCCCAGTCTTCTGGTCAGTGAATACAGAAACAGCTGCAGCTTGCGGAGACTGGTCAGGTAGATGACTCTCTGGCAGCTCTCGCTGGTAGAAGAGACTGGGCTTCTCTCTGTATGAGTAAGAAGTAGAGGACACTGTTGGTATCCCTGTTTTCTGCTCAGTGAATCCAGGAACAGCTGAAACTTTCAGAGCCTGTTCAGTTAGATGACTTTCTGGTAATGTCTGTCGATAGAAAATATGGGTTTTCTCTGCACGTGGGTAAGAAGTAGAGGATACTGTTGGTATCACAGTAACTTGATCAGCTGGTCCAGGAGTGGCTGAAACTTTTAGAACCTGTTCAGTTAGATGGCTGTCTGGCAGTTGTTGCTGAGAGAACACAACGTGCTTCTGTCTGTGTGAAAAGGAACTAGAAGTTTCTGTTGTTTTCTCACTCTTCTGGTCAGCACGACCAAGAACAGCTGAAACTTTTGGAGGCTCTTCAGTTTGATCACTATCTGGCAATACCTGTTGGTAGAAGATACTATGTTTCTCTCCAAGTAGGTAGGAACCTGGGGAAACTGTAGGTAAGCTGGTCTTTTGGTCTATAGGTCCAGGAACAGCTGAAACTCTTAAAGCTCCTTCAGATAGATGATTGTTTCTCAAGGGCTGTGGGTAGAAAATACCAGGCTTCTCTCTTAATGAATAGGAACTAGAGGGTAGTGTTGATATCCCAGTCCTTTGGTCAGCTAGTTCAGGAACAGCTAAAACTTTTAGTGCCTCTTCAGTTACATGACCATCTGCCAATAACTGTTTGTTGAGACTGTCGGTATGTAGACCAAGAGTATTCTCCACAGAAGATCTTACAGCCAACTGAGGAAAGTCCTCTGGGGTCAAGGGTAAATAAGATCCAATATCTGAATCTCCAGAAGTGGTAGTGAAGCCTGCTTTCAAATTGGATTGAGTAATTTCAGTTATGCCTCCTTCAGAAATGTCTCCTAAAAGAAAAGAATTTTTTTAATACTTATGATAGTATATACTTTTTGAATTAAAAAATATTTCTTTTATTCATTAAAGGAAACCAAGCATTCCCTCCTTGATACTTTACACTCTAGAAAGGAATCCTACAGAAATAGTCATCAAAGGACACAAATATTTACACTGAAAGATATTTATTACAAAGCGGTTTAAAGCAGCAATCTAATATGTAAATAATTTAAATAGTCAACTACAGAACAAAAAATTAAAAATAGCAGTATAGGCCCTGGCCAGGCATATAATTTGGTTACTGCATTGTCCCAATACACCAAGGTGGTGGTTCAATCCACAGTCAGGGCACATATAAAGATTCTCACCCCCCACCCCCGTCCCCCTCTCTCTCTCAACTCAGGAAATAAAAAATTAAAATTAAAGAATAGCAGTATAACCATTTCATAAAACATTATGCAAAACTTTAGGTTATTTTTAAAGAATTTTCAGCATGGTACGAAAATGTTGTCTACTCTGGGATTTGATTTCATACTACTTATAAGCTAACAAGGTAACCTGTTACTGTGTCACATATGTTGGCATAAAATATGACACTCCTCCCTCAATCAAGACAAAATATTTTACTCCATGGCATAGCAAAGGATCATCAACTTATTTTCATGGGTTGCCTTTCTCCCAAGTAATATAACGGAAGTGAGATATGGTCCAGGTGGATGCCATTTTAAAAAGTGTGCCCATAGGACTTCCAGCCAAGATGGAGGTGTAGATAGTTACACTTTGCCTCCTTGCACAACCAAAGGACTACAAAAAATTTAAAAACAAAAAATTATCAGAACTGCCAGAAAATTGAACTGTATAGAAGTCTGACAACTAAGGAATTAAAGAAGAAACATTCATCCAGACAGATAGGAGGAATGGAGACTGGCAGCTGGGGTGGAGAGGGCACACGGCAAGGCAGCAGTTGAAGGAGCGGGTGGGTGAAGTGGCAGCTGGCAGAACTGGTGGTCCCAAGTTTGCATATGGATAAATCAGAGGAACAGCTAGGGGGTGAGACAGACTGTGCAATGCAGGGTTCCAGTGCAGGAAAAGAAAGCCTCAAAATCTCTGGAGGTAAAAACCTGCAGGCGCTGCAGCAGCAGGAGAAACTCCCAGCCCACAGGAGAGTCTGTTGGAGAGGCATACACAAACCCACCCACTTGTGAGTCAGCACCAGAAGGGCCCAATTTGCTTGTGGGTAGTGGGGGAAGTGACTGACCCAGCTGAGAGCCAAGAAAGCAGCATTGTTCCCTCTGGGACCCCTCTCCCACAAACAGGGTCACAATTCAGTGACCTGGGTTGCCCGCCCTGGCTAATACCTAAGGCTCCACCTCTTCCAACATAACAGGCATGCTAAGACAAAGAAATCTGGCCCAAATGAAAAAACAGATCAAAGCTCCAAAAATACAACTAAGCTGAACATATAGCCAACCTATCAGATGCACAGTTCAAAACACTGGTAATCTGGATGCTCACTGAATTGGTTGAGTAAGGTCACAAAATGGAGGAAAAAATGAAGGCTATGCAAAGTGAAATAAAGAAAAATATACAGGGAACCAATAGTAAAGAGAAGGAAACCAGGACTCAAATCAATGACTGGGAGCAGAAGGAAGATACAAACATTCAACCAGAGCAGAATGAAGAAACAAGAATTCAAAAAAATGAGGAGAAGCTTAGGAACCTCTGGGACAACTTTAAACAATCCAACACCCAAACCATAGAGTTGCCAGAAGGAAAAGAGGAAGAGCAAGAAATTGAAAACTTATTTGAAAAAATAATGAAGAACTTCCCCAAACTGGCCAAGGAAACAAACTTCCAGGAGATCCAGGAAGCTCAGGGAGTCCCACAAAAGTTGAACCCAAGGAAGCAAACACCAAGACACATCATAATTAAGTTACTCAGGATTAAAGATAAGGAATCTTAAAAGTAGCAAGAGAAAAGGAGACAGTTACCTACAAAGGAGTTCCCACAAGACTATCTATCAACTGATTCCTCAAAAGAAACCTTGCAGGCAAGAAGGGCTAGAAACAAGTATTCAAAGTGATGAAAGGGAAGGACCTACATCCAAGATTACTGTACCTAGCGAAGCTATCATTTAGAATAGAGGACAGATAAAGTGCTTCCCAGATAAGGTAAAGCTGAAGGAGTTCACCATCACCAAGCCCTTATTATATGAAATCTTAAAGGGACTTATCTAAGAAAAAGATAAAAAACTATGAACAGTAAAACAGATGGGAGAGGTGGGGGAAGAGTGGGGGAAACGGTAGAGGGACTAAGCAGCATAAACTGTAGATACAAAATAGGCAGGGGGAGGTTAAGAATTGCATAGGAAGTGGAGAAGCCAAAGAACTTCCATGTACAACCCATGGATGTGAGCTAAGGCGGGGCCGTGGCAGGGGAATGCTAGGGGGTGGGGTGGTGTAGGGTGGAGGGAAATGAAGGGGAAAAAATGGGACAACTGTAATAGCATGATCAATAAAATATATATAGATTAAAAAAGAATAAAAGTTGCTTTCACAATACAAAGATTTTTAGTGAAAATCACGTAGTCTAATATGCCATACTCTTATATTTTTCAATGCATTTAACTATTGTTCTTAAAATTCTTTGTACTATTTCAGCATGAAATAACCAATTCGCATGGAAAAATGTTGAAATTTAGTAACTATTGTGCTGAAGTAAATTTGTGTCCATCATTCCAAAGTATTTATTCTTCTGTAAAGCAAATAATATGTATTCATTTTTTTTTTTTAGACTGACCACTAAGTATTATGTGTTGGACATTCCTGGACGTATTCATTATTCCTGTAATTTATTCTTACAGAATGCCATGCTAGGTGTGTGGGGTTTTGTGCCTTGATTTATGGAAGACTGATAAGGGTGCTCTTGGCTATATGACTACTTTACGTAATTCTTTTTCACCAAGTTTACATCTTTTTGTTCTAATTTTAACTAATGTGTATATTTTAATTATTTGTTTGGGTTCTTCATTTGTATGCTGCTGTTTGTTTTCCCTCAGTTTCTAAGCTGATTTTATTATTTTTCAGCATTTTACAGACTACTGCTCCAAGGACAAGCAGATAAGGTACTCTTCTAGGTTTTGTCAATACAGCAGTCAATGATATAGAAGAAAAAAAAAATCCTGTCCTCATGGAGCTTACAGTCTAACAAGGGAAGACAGAAAATAAGTAGAATAAATTCAAAATACATTTATTTTAAGTGAAATGATAATATGTGCTAAGAATAAGGAGAGACCAAGGTAAAAGGATATAACTATAGCAGAAAGTTTGCTTTGTCCCTAAATACAGTGGCAGAAACCATGACTAATGGGAATGGTTCAGTCAGAAGAAAAAAATAAGTGTGCCCACAATGAGATATGTATTTTTAACTATATGAAACTGTAAATCCTCTAAAAGTTACACAAGGAATGCTGAACTTAATTCTATATGGCATGTATAGTCAGTATTGTATTGCAGAAACATAGGTTCTGGGTGGGAAGGGAAATGCAAAACTGTAAGCAGAACTAACTGAACTTTCTGCAACAGAAATGTTCTGTTGCACTGTTAAACACAGTAATTCTAAATAAAAAATAGTTCTCTTAGTGGCAGTGGAAAGTAAATGACTACAATAGCAATGACAAGATTTGATAAATACTGCATTCATTCATTTGTTCATTCAAAAAAACAACTGTGTACTATGGGCCAGTCACTGTTATAGATGTAGAAAATAGGAGCAATAAATAAACACAAAGCTTACTATCTAATTATGCCTCACAAAGCTTTTATTCTTATAGGAAGAAACACAAAAAGTAAATTGGTAAAACATATGGTATATACAGCAAATATCATCTATACTTTGCAGATAGAAAAACTGACTTTCAAAGGTAATGATAAAATAGTGTCGCTCAATGTAAAGATCTTGTTAGATTCTGACTCAGTAGGTGTGGGGTGGGATCTCAAAACCTGCATTGCTAATAAGCTCTTGGGTAACACCCAATACTACTGGCCCACAGACCACATTTTGAGTAATATATATTTTCCTAGAGTTGTACTGTGAGTAAATGACAAAAACTGTCTCCTTAGCCTTCTGATTCTAACTGAAAATTCTGAACTCTTTTCACTACAACAGACTGCCGTTCTAAATCCCCTGGTGAGCTTCAAAAAGGTAGCTGAAAAAGAGAATAAAATGAGATCTGAATCATAAAGTAAAAAGGTAAAAATATCAAGAATTAACTCTTGAAGAAAACTAAAAAAAAATATGTGTACTGCACAGTAACTTTGGAAGGATATGGGTTAAGGAAATTTTTGTGAGAAAAGGCTCAAGAAATTAATAAATCAAAACAGATAAACAAACTGAACAACCAATGGGTCAAAGAAGAAATCAACAGAGAAATAAAAATACCTCAAGACAAGTGAAAATGGCAAATACAACATACTATAACTTATGGGAAGCGATCAAAGCAGTTCAAAGAGGAAAGTTTATAGAACAAATGCCTACATTGAGAAACAAAAAGAAAATCTCAAATTACCTAACTTTATACATCAAAGAACTAGAAAAAGAATAAAAAAAAGCCCAAAAGTACCAGAAGGAAGGAAATAACCACAATAAGAGCAGAAGAAATAAATGCTTACCAAAGACTGAGAAGGTCAATGAAACTAAGATATGATTCTTTCAAAAGACAAATAAATTGGACAAACCTTTGGCTAGGCTCACTTAAAAAAAAAAAAAAGACAGACTCAATTAAAATCAGAAATAAAAGAGAGGAGATCTAAGATGGTGGCAAAGTAAGTGGAAGGTACACTCACCTCCTCCCAGTATCAAACTAAAATTACAACTAAAATATGGAACAATCACCCTGAATAACCAAATGAAGACTGGCTGAAGTGAAGTCTTATAACCAAGGGTTTAAAGAAGGCACACTGAGATTTGTAGGAAGGGGAGAGATGCAAAAAGGGCTGGCCATATTCTCACG